TAAATGTGTTGGCTTTTATTGAATAGGACCTTTATATAAACTCGCTCTGGACTCCGCCCACATTAGTCCGGTGCTTTCCTCCACATATGCTCACACTGAGCCTTGTCCCCTGTTCCCCAGAGAGAGCTAGCTGAAGGAAATTTCTCTATAGCAGATGAAACACATTATTGGGGTCCATAGCTAATCAAAGCCACCCGGCGCCCCTCACCCCTAAATCTCTATCTCATGTTTGTGACAAAGTAGTACTGACAGCATGATCGTCAACAGGGAGTGATCGGACCTTTGTCCCTTACTGGACCCTAAAAAAAAGAAGATTTATTTTGCGAGGGCACGGGGAGAAATAAAGGTTTTAGGTGACTAAAGTGTGAAGTCCAGAGAAAATAAACATCAAATGACATGCACAGTAATAACAGGTTCTGTTGGCTGTGAACAAAGAGAGAGTGATCACGTATGATAAAAACAGAGAAGTGGGAGCGAACAAAGAGATAGGAAGAAAAGAGAGGAGGTATATAGAGCGAGAGATAAGTGAAATGGAGGACACAGAAGAGGAAGGAATGAAGGGGAGAAAAGAAAGGTTGAGAGAAAGAAAGGCTTTCTGAGATTATCCTTTGCATTAAAATGGAGAAATGGAAGGGGATTTCACCCACGAGTACTAGAAGAGCTTATTACAGCAACATAAAAAATCTGTGTAATATTACAAGCATGAAACATCACCAGAAAATGTTACAAAGGAGTTAATATTTATTTCAAGTATTATTATTATTTAAAAGAATTAGTTCAGAAAACATTAAAAGCGCCTCTGAATCCCATTACACTTGTAAGGCCCTGAGGACATTATCGTGACATATTTATAGCTGGTGGAGCTGTAAAGAACTTCCTGTCCAGTTTGGGCCAACCGCAAAGCATTGATACAAAGTCCTTATACCTAGTGTAGTCAGAAGAGCAGAGTATAGTTACACAGAACATTTCCTCTCATAGTCCAAAACAGATATTAACAGTATCAGAATATATATATATATATGGGACATATTTCAGTCTTCGGTAGATGCAAAAGGATGAAATAACAGTTTCTCATGTTCCTCCGGTTTTGCGATCTCTGTGTTTGCAGCTCTATGTATAGCGGCTGCAGGAATTATGAGGGGTTCTCACTCTATCTGTTGGGTTTACAGTTTACATGGTATCAAGGAGAATGCAAAAGGAGGAGCGGGAGCACTTCAAGCGTGGGAACAAAGAGATAAAAGGTAGCACCAGACTTCTCCTATAACTGAAATATGTCTTCTGGGTTGGCTGTTCCTTTGGTAAGACAATTCTTCGATCGGTGGTGTGCAGAAATCCATAGCCACCAGTCTGATGTTATTGATCATCAATTCCATGCAGAGTAAAGGGAAAGACTTCTTATTGATGACTACGGCTTACTGTACTTTGCTCCTTGCCTTCTTAAAGAGACGCAGTCATCACATTAAACACAGAATAAAGAAACACAGCACATTGCACCTACAATGCACCCCATCTTCACCCCCTTGCTCGATTACAGGCATCATTAGAATCTTTAGCACCCAATACTCCCATGTGTGTTGGATGCCTACAACTCCCCACTGCCCCGATGTAGTTCCATCCCCCCACACCCACTATGTTACCAGTGTGCATCTTCAGTGATGTAGCAGCCGGAAAAAGGAGCAACAGTGGGCAGTGAGGAAATGCAGACATCCAATACACCCAGAAGTGTCTGGTGCTGAAGAATCTGACAGCGCAGAGCTAAGACTGGATGCAACAGAAAAGTTATTGGTATACATGTGTTTTGTGAAGCTGTGTTTCTTTTTTTCTAATGTGATGACCGTGTCTCTTTAAAAGTCTCAGTCCAACATACTGAAAGAATTAGGTATCAGCTGAGGGCCATCTAGACGGGATACGGGTATTTCCAGCGCAGAATAGCACCGTCGTTGCTGACGCTGATGATGTATTTGTAGAGGGGGCAGATTTTTATCTTGGTGATACTGCCGCTGTGTCCAATACCCACTTGGGTCACCTCACCCTCGTTGTAATCCCAAACTTTCACCAATTTGTCGTCCCCACCTGAAAGAGAGAAAAAAGTGAGGTTACCCTCTAAGTAGAGTCTGGCAGGGCCTGCTGAGACCTGTAGTTTTTTTAAGGGTTAAGGGAGGTGGCATTGTAATGTACATGGTAACATGTCCACCTTGGTCAAAAGTCAAATTGATCTCTGTATAATGTTTCAGTTTTGGTTGGGGCTCAAATGGTTGCAAAAGCAATATTTTATGGTAATATTTGTGTCTGTCAGGGAACCGGTGGTACCACCTGACCTCGGGGGCCACCAGGTACGGTGTAGTACACGGGGACTCCTTCGGCTTGGCAGGAGTCCTGTCGGCAGGGTTGCGGGTGCGCATGCGCGATGTGCGCACCGGCTGCGTGACATGTGCGTGCCCACGGTGGACAGGCAAGCGAGTGTGTGTACGGAGGCGCGAGCATAGTGCGCTGTGGCCATTATTGCCGTCAGGTGTTGGTCTTCCTGGGGGAGGTTCCCGACACACACCTTCCGTTTTTTCCCTCCTGCTATTGGCTTCTGGACTGGGAAGCCTCCTTGTTGTCTCGGCGACTGGGGGCGGTCCTGGTTCCCACTAGGTTTAAATTCCAGCCAGAGCCCTGACTTGTTGCGGAGTTATTCTGCCTTTATGGTGCAATTACCTAGCCTCTCGCATCGGATACTGCTGCAGCTCCCTGACCCCTCATCTGAATTCCTGGTTAATGACCCCTTGGCCTGTCTTCCCGCTCTTGATCCTAGCCGTCTGCCTCGACCCGGACTGAATTTTGACTAAGCTTTTTGGAATTACCCTCTTTGTACCTAGTTGCGGATCTCTTCCAGTCTGTTTCCTGCCAGTGGGTACCACGCCACGTCTTGGGCCAGTGACACCCATGACAGTGTCTCTGGTTCACTTATGCATAGCTGGACCCCCCCAATATTAATATATTCTACATTATGATGAATCGATTGTGGGAGTCTGACCATACCATTGGCTTTGCTGGACATGGCAGTTGCACAGAACAGGAAATCCTTGTGTGGAGTCCTGAACTTAAGGGGGTCCTTAAAAAATAGAAGAATACAGGATGTGATTCTATTTGCAGCAACCAGGATTCTGTTGTGTACACCATTTGGCATATTCAATTATTCTATTCCTTCTTTATTTTAGATACCATGAATCATAAAAACTCATGCAGAGTCGCAAAAATGACAAAGGATTTCCTAGGGGTTCTGTGGAAGCTTTGGTTTGCTCCACAGTTTAAAATAGAAACAAAAATGGGTGACGGCAGAAAAAGATCAAATGGTCCATCAAGCTTGTCCCTTTTTTTTTTTTTATATTTAACCTTTTTGTCTGAGTATAGATCTGTTTGTCCCGAACCTGTGCAAATTCACTTACTGTAGACTGACTCACTGCCTCTGCTGGAAGTCTGTTCCAAACATCAAATACTCTTTCTGTGCAATAATACTTTCTAAGGTTAGCTTTGATCTTTCCTCCTGCGGGTTTGAGGTCATGTCCCCTTGTTCTTGCTCTTAGATTCATATTGAAGATACAGCCGTCCTGCTTTGCTCTGGACTACAAATCCCAAAGATGTAAAGCTTATGCCAGGGACGAGCCCAAATGTAAAGCTTGGCAAAACTTTCATTTCTATTTTTGTTGTCTGTTCTTGCAGTAAAGCTCACCTCCTGAACCTTATTCGCATCCCACATGTATTTATAGGTTTCAGTCATTACCCTCCTCTCCCTTCTTTGCGCCAGACCGTACATATAAACTTCCCGCAGTCACCAATGTAAGGTTTCCAAATGATGTTACCTGTCACAAAGTGGCTTCCGCTGTCACTTATGTCCATCCCGTTGATGGCGCCAGACATGGATCCTTCAAGATCTCTTATTGCTGAGCCATCGAACACTTCCCAGTACCCGATCTGCAAAGACATTATTGAATTAGATTTTACAATGACAGCACCGAAAGTCTAAAGTATATTGTGCTAAAGGATGGGTACCACTGTGGCTTAGTGTGTCTACTTCTACATTGAGGTACTGGAGTCCTCGGTTTAAATCCCAACCAGGAGACTATCTGGTCCACATTGAATTAAAGGGAGAATCAGAAAAACAAGATCTGTGGTGTTAATATTTCTAATCAACTACATCATATTGTGTATTTTTTTATTCTACCCAGCATTCCATTTTAATCTGAGTTCTGTGAATTCCCCTGCAAAATAAGCACACAAGGCACTATACAGTACAGGTGAAACTCGAATAATTAGAATATCGTGCAAAAGTTATTGCAGTAAGTGCTGCAAAAGGGGCCCAAACCAAGTACTGAGTACATATGCATGCTTGTACTTTTCAGAGGTCCGATATTGTTCTATGTACAATCCTTGTTTTATTGATTGCATGTAATAATCTACTTTTTTGAGGTTGTGGATTTGGGGTTCTCGGGGTTTTCATGAGCTGTAAGCCATAATCATCACAATGATGACAAACCACGGCTTGAATTATCTTGCTTTGCATGTAATGAGTCTCTCTCATATATTAGTTTCACCTTTTAAGTTGTATTAGTGAAATAAATGAACTTTGCACCATATTCTAATTATTCGAGTTTCAACTGTATACTCTGACTGCCTTCCGGTCATCTCTTCAGGGAAGCCTATCCCACCTCAACCTAACCACTGAACCATTACATTCTCAGACAATTCATCCCCTCACAGCTACCTCCTCATGTATCACTTCCCCCTCCCTTTTAGATTGTAAGCTCTCAGGGGCAGGGCCCTCCTTACCATCTTGTCTTGAATTGATTGTAATGTCTTCCTTATATTGTAAAGCGCTGCGCAAACTGTAGGGTGCTATATAAATCCTGTATAAGAATAATACAGGATTGGGAGGGCTGTAGGAGTGGGCTTCCTGGATATTGTCCTATGTAGCTTCCTTTTAACTTCTTCTTCTAACAATCACATGAAAACTTCCCAGGCAGATCTGAATGTGATTGGTGGCTATAAAAACTTCCCTTTTTTCACAAGGCAGCATTGAGCTTACAGTGGGCATTCTGACACCACCAGCAGGTACGTTGCAGGAAGGGAGGGAGACCGGACGATTGGGGCACTACAGGAATACCTGCATGAATACTGAAGTTCTGAGCAAGAGTCCCCATATGCATCTCAAGGTTTAATTCAACTCTCCATTTTGACCGAAGTGTACCTTTCACTCTCTTCGAGGATAGAGAAATTGGAAACCATTGCAGTATTTTTATGGTTTTCTTCAGAACCAACTAATGTACAGTATTAACCTCCCTGGCAGAATACCGCCAGGGAGGTTAATATTATTATTATTTTTTTACAAAGTCTTTATTTTAATTTTCCGATTATTTTATTTTATAGTATTTATTTTTCTTTGTCACCTCCCTTGAAATACAGATAAAGATAAGTCTCCCTGTCGATATCGGGATTGTACCTTTCTATCAGTGCCACTGGTGATAAGCTGGAACTCCTCAGGGTGGTAACATAGGCAGCGGAACAATGTATTGGATAAGATCATCTGTTTCCGTATAAACCTCCTGGAAGGACAGAACAGATCCACGTTAGAGAGGAGATTGTATCTAAGGACCCCGAGGATTTATCAGAGGACCCCAATATGATGACTTCTCCAACCCTATGTGTGCACTCACATGACATTATGTACAGTCTTATATGGAACACTCAGAAATATTCATCGTGCCTAAGCAGTACCCTGAAAGTTCCCCTTGGGGGGAATTTATCATAGCAATTGGGAGTGTTTGAACTTGCACGGAATATATTTGCACTAGATTTATGATGCTAGTGTAATGGTGTTCATAAATGAGGATTAATAGACTCCAGGAAAGAAGACTTGTAGCTCCGGACAAAAAGCTTAACTGTCGCTTCTTGGAGAAGTGGTCATGGGGACTTCTTAAGTTGCCATTGTTTTCTTAGGTGGTACTCCAGTTTCAGACAACCGCAGGACAAGAGCAGAAGAAAACAGGTGCAAAAAACGTGCAGTTGAAAAAGTAGTGCAAGCTCAGGTCAAAACAGGGGCACATGTTAAAGCAATGGTTCTCAACCTGTGTAACCTCAGGACCCACATTTGTCCTTGGTCATTAAGTCGTGACCCAAGTTGCACTGCAATGGAGCGCACGGCATTGCGGTACTGCGCGTTCCGGGCAATAGAACCGTGGGTGGGAGGTGCATTTGGGGTGCCATTCAAATGAATTGCAATGCAATGCACTTTTCACACCAAAACGCGTGGTAGGTGCGATTGCGATGTACAGTGCATTAATCGTACGGGACCATGCAATTAACGCACTGTACTAGTGTGAATGGGCCCTCAAAAACAGACAACCACAGACACAATCTCACACAAACATACACACTCCAAAATAGATCCACCCAGTATCCCTACCTTCTGAGAACTGGAGTGGATTCATAGCCTGGGGTCCGGTGTGGGCTGCGGTGGTGTGATGGAGCTCCATCCATATGTGCATTGCCTGTGCAGCTCCCTTGCGCACCCTGTAGAGGTGCCGAGAGCCAGAATGTGACCACTCCGGTCCAGGCACCTCTACAGGACATGCGAGGTAGCTGTAAGCAATGCACTTATGGATGGAGCCCACCCTACCTCAAGCTGACCCTCGGCACCGGGCAGCATATTTTGAATGGCTGCTTTGCGCAAGAACTGACAGTGTTGCGCTAGGGAGAGGCTGGGGAGTCTCTCACCTAGAAAAGTGGAAGGCACACGGGGACCCATGTCGGGATCCGTCCCGGCTGCGGCGCTCACAGTAGCCCACGATATACTGAGCTTTGGGTCACAGGAGGACGCTAGTATATGTCCTCCTGTGACCCTAAAGAGAACTATGGAGAAAAACACTTACCCCATAGTTGTCTTTTAACAATGGATGACACCGCTACTGGTGCTTCAGCAGCTTTTTTTGTCACATCACCATAAGGCTGAGACCCTCCCTGTCCTCTCTGCTCATGTAAGCAACCTAATCATTCTCCCTATCCAACTCCCGGTGCTTGAAACATGTTGAATAGTTAGAAAATCTCTGTGTGTATTGAGCATTTCTGATGTTGGAAGAACGTGTTCATGTCCGTGTAAGGTAGTCCTATGTCACCACTACATATAAAAACTTTAGCCTACACCATGCACATAGGAAGGAAATATCTGTGAAACACTGACACCAGGTCCCATATGATGCAGGCTCCGTCCGAGCTGGCGGAAACACATTCCCGGTTGTTGCCCTTCAGTTTGATACACAATATCGCCGACTTGTGTTCCTTCATGGATTCTACGAGCCGCTGACTGTCCCTGCCGATCTCCCACAGTCTCACCTGCAGCACAAAATCACAGTCATCGGGGGATGGATATAAAACTGAATTACAAACAGCTGAACACAATGCTGAAATACACCCTGGGGGGAATTTATCAAAACTGGAGCAGACAAAATCTGGAGCAGCTGTGCATGGCAACCAATCAGCTTCTCTGTCTGATTTTTAAATCTTACCTGAGCAAAGTGAAGAGAGATGCTGTTTGGTTGCCATGGGCAACTGCTCCAGATTCTGTTTGCTGCAGTTTTGATAAATTCCCCCCATTGTACATGAGATCCTCCCACTCAGACATCCCATCTTGAATCATTCAGGCTCTGTTCCTTCTATCTCCATTTATTAAGATCGGTGGCCGCTGTGCCCGCTAGTCCACCGGCCATCTTGTAACTTGATCCTGTGTAGTTCAGCCAGACTCTACAGCTAGCCTGGGGACCTGACTTTTCTCTGCTGCAATGAAGCAATCACAGCCCTTCATCCTCGGCCTGTGATTGGACAGTGAAAGAGCAGCAGCAGACTGATGAGGTCATTGCTCAGCTCTCTCCCTCTGCAAGCATGTTCCTTGTCAGTACGCTTAATTTCTGTCAAGTTTTTATTTCTGACGCCATTGGGGAGATTTTCCCTTACTGCCTGTCCCTGTGACACCTTTGCAAACAGTGGGGGCGTGGGTGTCACCTGAACAGGAAATGTTACCCCTTCCCCAAAGTGCTAAAAATTTGTTTGCGTCCTTGTTTATGTTGGAGAGATTTTCCATAATTTCCTGTCCTGACAAGAAGTGAGGGAAAATCTCTCCTATATGTAAACCAGTTGCAAAAAAATAAAGTTGATAAAGGCTCTAACCATTCCGCTTTCTAACCATACATGTAAGGAGCTATTAACGATCACGTTCATTTGCTTTTATATTCACCTGGAGTCCACCTTTAAGGCTTCAGTATCAGAGGTCACCCACCTGTCCTTCCCCTCCTCCGCTCACAATCCTCTTACAGTCGCTTGTTGCTGCGATGGCGGTCACACCCATGCTGTGTGCGTTTTCTATCTGGTACAGGAGTCGTCCGCTTTCGGGTGTGAATGCTCGGATCTTTCCATCGTTCCAGGCTGTGGAAACAATTTTGGTTTTAAAATTCCTTCATTCAATGTATGAAAAGGGGTGTGTATATTTTTGATATGTAAAGATATGCTATGTCACAGAGTGCACTCACACTGGGCCCTGCACAACAGGAGCTTACAATCTAATCTCCTGAGCTCAGTCATAGACACACACATGCTAAGTTCAAGGTGGTCGGGACCTACCAGTATGCGGTGCATGGGAAGATCACAGGGCTGGGTCAAGGGGTAGGTAGAAGGGGTTCTCTATGATTATACCTCCAATCAGAGAACAGGAAGGACACCCCCCACAGTGCTACACACTGTGCTCTATGATTATTCTTCCAATCAGAGGACAGCAAGGACCTCCCCCGCAGTGCTACACACTGTGCTCTATTATTCTTCCAATCAGAGGACAGGAAGGACATCCCCCGCAGTGCTACACACTGTGCTCTATTAGTCTTCCAATCAGAGGACAGGAAGGACCTCGCCCGCAGTGCTACACACTGCGCTCTATGATTATACCTCCAATCAGAGGACAGAAAGGACCTCCTCCGCATTGCTACACACTGCGCTCTATGAATATTCTTCCAATCAGAGGACAGGAAGGACCTCCCCCGCAGTGCTACACACTGTCCTCAATGATTATTCTTCCAATCAGGGGACAGAAAGGACACCCCCCACAGTGCTACACACTGCGCTCTATGATTATACCTCCAATCAGATGACAGATGGATTGCCCTTCTAACAGACATTGGCCTCACCTGACAGGATGCTCTTGCCGTCTCTCATAAATTCAATGGTGTTACAGGTCATGTTCGGTATGGTGATCCGCAGCAGTTCCTTGTGGCTGGTTGTGTGCCAGACACGGATGTCATTTTTGGCACACGTGGCAAACAGCTCTGAAGTACCACTGGAAAAAAGCAGGAAAGGAAATAATAGCGCCCAGTGTGCATAAGAAAACACATCACATGGCCTGATCTACATTAGTCAGATTGGTGTTAGGCTTAGGAGGAGGGGTGTAACTATAGGCAAAATAAATTATATATATATACTGCAGTCTGTCAGCAGCATTAACACAGCAGTTGTGTTATACTCCAAAATAGGTCAACACCATGCCAAAGAAGCGTAGGGTAGCCAGGCAGCAGATGTAGCAGAAGTTAGTGATTCTGGTGAATATATGGAAAATAAAAGAGTATAGAAACCCAATCATTAAAATCCCATATCATTAACACATTAATGCCATTTCAAAAGTAATTTCAATTATTTTTAAATCTGCAGTTTTTCTATTAAATAATTCCCGGTGAACCTGACATGAAGGTCATTGTTCCGGCACTTTCTGTTATGGGTGACTACGCTCTATCATTGTCTCATAACTGTGTTCCTGAGTTGTCACCTGTTACATGGGCTTCCAACGGAGACTACAAGTGACTGTTTCTACAAACATTACTCGGGCATGATCCACTGTCACCATCAGCAAACCCACCCTGAGAAATCCCATGCTGCCATTGCTGGTGTGCATGTGGACAGGAAGAGGTTAGGAGATAAGTAGTGCTAAGATAAAATAACGGATGGAAAAATAGTAAACAAACAAGTGTTATATTTAAAAAATGACAAATGTTTATGATACACAAAATGTTTTTCTGTTAAAGGAGAACTATGAGGGGGGTGTTTTTCACTCACCTCATAGTTCTAGCCGACAATTCAGCTGCGGCGTCTCAGTATATAGGGAGCTGTAGCTCGCGGTATACTGAGCCTAGGGTGACGGGAGGACGCTAGTTTGTGTCCTCCCGTTACCCTAAGGAGAACTATGGGGGAAAGCCTTAACCCCATAGTTCTCCTTTAAGGTTTATATTTACTTTAAGACAATCACTGGATGTTTATATATTGTGATCAAGCATACGTACAAGGGGAAGACGATGTCGTTGATGGCTTCGCTGTGACAGGTGGCTATGAGCTCCTCTTTGAATTCCGAATAGTTAAAACGGTAGATCTGTGCCTGCGAGGTGCCCACGAAGAACTGGTGGCCCTGCCCTCTGAGGGTGATGGAGGTGATGGCCCCCTGCAGCTGGACACTCCTAGAAGATGGAGACACACAGTCATACACTTGAGACAACATCATCAGCTTTTTTAATTTTTTTATTCTTAAGGTCCGTGATGCGTGCATCGAAGACTAGCTTCACCCCTGTGAACAAAAAAAGGGAATAGTGAAATTATCACACACTAAAAAAAAGTGGATGAGGGTGCTTTGGTGCTCCTCTGATGAGGAAGGGCCTGAATCCCCCGGGGAGCAAGGCTCCTGACAGGGGCAAGGACGACTTAGGTCCACCTACCTGAAGGCCGGCGGACCCCTCTCCTCTGGGACCTGCCGAAACAGGTCCACCGAGTACTGGGTGGGGGCTCTCCCAAAGAGAGACCCCCGAGTGGGAGGAGACAGGGGAGCCTGTGGAGGCCATAGAACCTCCTCCCCGACATCAGTAAGAGCCCTGAAGGTACCCGCACCCTCCGTCTTTTGTGAAGTCAAAGGTGCCAATCGTGCATAAAAAAATGTGCAAAAATAAATAGAGTCACAGTGCACAACTTTCGGCCGGAGTGCAAAAATATTGCCCCGGGCTAGCCATAAGGCCTGCTCAAGAGGCATAATGCAGTAAAAGCTTGAGTGCCGTGACCTCGTGTCAGTGAATCACGGTGGGGTCCCACACCCAAGTGATTTTCTGGCACACCCTAGGACGCCACCCCCAGCCGGCACAGCACCACGGGCCTCCTGAACCTCCCCGAACCCTCCGGCAAGACCAGAGGTGCAGCACCCATCCACATCAGAAGCCATTAGTGTTGAGGAAGCTCCCCCCTCTTCCAAAAGGGAACCGCCTCAACACCCACCTTCACTTCAGAGAGTACTTAACAACCGGTGGACGGTCCATGCTGTTCCACTCTAAAAACTGATAAGAACAGATACTACACTTGATCTTAGCCAAAAAGGCCGAGAAGCGACTCTGATTACATTTGATGAACTGGAGAGTAAAGTATATTCATAGGTTCATCGTTTTCCCTAGATTACCTCAGGTACCCCTAGAACTCGGAGTGCCAAATTCAGCTAAGCCTGTTAATGGCAATAAAATTTATTTGCGGTTTATAAGCTACACAGGACACCCAGCGCTGGACACTCACTTAGCTGCTTTGTAGTTCTGCCCATTGCAGAGTGACAGTTTTCCATCCCCAGAGCCAATCAGAATCTCTCCCGTTTTCAGCAAGCACAGAGTGGTCACTCCCTGAAGAAAAAGAAAGCAATCAGTATGATCGTATACAACAGCTGAAAAATGCCCAACTGAAGCTTCAGATTAAACCAGCTAAATACATTCGACGTGCATCAAAACAAATGGTGTTCAACAATGTCTTACAGTTCAATGTCTTCTAAAGAAGCCACAGCCTATAAAAATCTGTCCTCTGCCGGCATGCTACAGAGAAGAACCCTTCCTCCCTGTGTAGAAGCAGTGGTCTCTCTGCGGAGGGGTGACATGCCCCCTACTGAGTCAGTCCAATCTGCATATGCTATCGATATTCTCTAAAGTGCTAAAAGAAGTCCACCCAATTCATCTTTGATATGAATCTATATAATCAATTGAAAACAATTAAAGCAGGCTTCCCCAGTGGTCAGAACTGGGAACACAGCAGCCGGAACTTTACAGGCCCAGATTCTGGAAGGATGGACACTGGTGGTGTATAGTGGGTTGGCCACATGCAGAAGAAGAATGCTAATTCCAGAGGATTAAACACATTTAGCAGGCCTAAAGGCAGAATGGAGTATACCTTTACCTGGCAGTGTGCATAAAAAGGGGAATTATAAATCTGTAGCAGATAGGGTTGCCACCTTTTCTTCAAGCCAAACCCGAACACTGTAGCGCCTCGCGGCAATTTTTTGGTAAAGTACACTATGCATGTATTTTGTGATTAAATAACATTGGAGGTAATCACAAAGATGCCAGTGTGCCACAGATCCACAGATATACAATCTGTACACAGTGGTGTACTCTGGTTTGGGGCCGCCCTAGGCAAGACGAAACTAGAGCGCCCCCCCCACTTAATCCGCAGGATCTCAGGGGGGCTGTGCAGGATCTGTGGTGGGCTCTGCCATAGAGCCCACCACAGATCCTGCAAAGCCCCCGAGACCCTGCAGAGCCCACCACAGATCATGCACACACCCCCTAAGACCCTGCAGACCAGTGCGGGATGTGTGGTGGGCTCTGGCCAAAGCAGACGGTAACTATGTGTTTAGTAATGTGTTGCGGTTTCAGATACTTGTTTTCTGTGTTGTGTACAGGTGACAGGTCATTTCCAGTGAACAATCCTGTGTTGTGCAGGTATGAGTTTTGTAGAGTATAAATGACAGGTTCTCTTACCAAGCTGAATCTGCCCTTCTGGGGCCCGTAGCTATTCAACAGTTTGGTCTTTGCGTTCATTTTCAGGATGTCTCCCGTGGTGGTGCCGCAGTAGAAGCAGCTGTCATCTTCTGTCACCTGAAAGGGGAACACTGGTCACATAACTATAAAATGTCAATCTACATCAGGTGACAACCTATAACCCTCCAGTACCTATACATGTCACCCGTGGCGGGGATCATTAAAGCCCAAAGTCACAGAAATAGCTTTGCGTTCACACAGACATTGTACTAACAACCTTCACCTTCATAATCTTACCTCAACTTTCATATATGACTGTGCAGATCAGTAGGTACCAGAGTTAGACCGAGATACAGGAGAATCCTACCGCACTCCTTACTGGTACGTCCCTTGCGGTGGGTGCTGTAGTGACTGCGGGTGGCGCCGCTTCAAATTCAAGTAGTAAAATATATCACCAGCACACCGTGGTCAAATCTTCAGAAAGTGATCATTTTATTGATGCACACGTCTGGTCACATTGCAATGTTTCGGGGCCACTCGGGGTCCCTTCCTCAGGCACCTGCTGGTGATATATTTTAGTACTAAAGTTAAGGTGTCCATACACCTTGCAATCATCGGACGAAAATCGAACCATCGTACAATTTCCGACCGTTGCACAGTTAAATTAGCGGTCTTTAGCAGAAATCACCTGGGCGAATTTCGTTAAGTGACCGCACGGATTTACGTTTGCGCATGAGCAGTGTTAATCGTACGAGTTTTGACGTACGGAAGTGCCAGCAACTTTGCGAAAATCGTACGAATCGACAGAGGTTATCTAAGCTGCTGGAAAGTCAAAAGTCGTACGATTGTACAGTGTTTGCGGTTGTACGCTGCCCATCAAACATACGAATATCGGACAAAAACGCGATCGCAAACGAAAATCAGGCCGATATTCGTAAGGTGTATGGGCAGCTTCAATGTGCCCATACACCTGCGGATTATCGTACGATAATCGCGGGAAATCCCGCGATCGTACATTAATCGGCAGGTGTATGGAAGGCGTGCGACCGCTTCTACTGTACGGTCGCACGTCTTTTGTCTTACGAGCATGTTTGAAAACCCGCCGAGAATCGTACGATTTTCGGCGGGTTTGTGGCCTGCTCGTAAGACAAATGCCGCATGGGCCGGTGCGCGGCAGCGCACACTGCCCCCCCCGCATTGCAGTCATTGGAAGCCCCCCCCTCAGCGGGGAGGGCTTGCGATGATCGCAAGTACGATCTGCCCGTCCAAGATGGGCAGATTGTACGTTTTTTTCATTACCTTACAACTATCGCAAGATGAAAGTCTTGCGATGGTTGTAAGGTGTATGGCCAGCTTTAGACCAAGCGCACTCAGTAATCAGTACATCAAACATGCCCCCTCCCCATGTCTGCAATACAAGTCAGTGTAAGGACACTTGTGATGAGAGGGTGTAGTTGTTACTCTGCCAACACGGAGCACTGGAGTGAAGGGGTAAAATAAGTATTTTAAGGCATTTCCTTGCAAAAACCAGTCACAAATCATAACATGCAGGGGTGCAGGACTATAAAGATACCAGATCAATGATATCAGTAAAAGCTGGAAGCATTAAAAGTCCTCTCCAGGTCTCTCGGTATTCACAGAGAACAGGAGGAGGTGAAGTGAAAAACAGGTGATCATGGAGTTTTATGTCTGTGTCTGTATAAGGAAGGGGAGTTTTAACCTGGAACCACCGACGTCTAGTAAGTATAACAAAGACAAAAGAGACAGGATTTATTATATGACTTACAGCCAAGCTGGTGACTACCCTCTTCAACTGTCCCATCTGACACTCAATGGGACGCAGCTTCCTGTTTGGCAGGTCCACCTCCCAAACACGCAGTGTGCGACTGTGGGGAAAAACACCGGGGTCACTGAGATTATTATAGACAACATTATAAGTTCATACAATACCAGTAGTTTTCAGACCTATCCAGCCCACCCTAAAATTGATATGACAGTTGTTGGTAGAGTTCGGGAAGCTGACTCGCTCCCTTGCCTTCTAAATTTCCTTCTGTGTTTCCAAAGTCTGCCCAAGCTCACCTTGGAGGTGCTCTCTCTCTCTCTCTCTCTCTCTCTGTATCTCTCTCTCTCTCTCTCTCTCTCTC